TCTGCTTCTGCCTCCGGCTCTGTCACCGGCCACGGCTCTGGCTCTGGTTCCGGCACCGTCGGCGGCTCTGGCTCTGCTTCTGCCTCCGGCTCTGTCTCTGGCCACGGCTCAGGCTCCGGTTCCATCGGTGGTTCCGGCTCTGGCACTGTTGGCGGCTCCGGCTCTGCTTCTGCCTCCGGCTCTGTATCTGGCCACGGCTCTGGCTCTGGCTCTGGCTCTGGCTCCGGCTCCGGCTCCATTGGCGGCTCCGGCTCTGCTTCCGGTACTGTCGGCGGCTCTGGCTCTGCTTCTGCTTCCGGCTCTATCTCTGGCCACGGCTCTGGCTCTGGCTCCGGCTCTATTGGTGGTTCGGGCTCTGGCACTGTCGGTGGCTCTGGCTCTGCATCTGCTTCCGGCTCTGTATCTGGCCACGGCTCTGGCTCCGGCTCCGGCTCCGGCATCAGCGGCGGCTCTTCTCCTTCCGGCACTGGCCCCAGCGGTGTCAGCCCTACCGACATCACCGGCTCTGGCTCTCCTAAGGGTCCCACCCCGTCTAGCACCCCTGTCACTCCTGGTGGCTCCTCTCCTACCGGTGGTGTGATTGGCGGCGGCTCTGGCCACGGCTCCGGATCTGGCTCTGGCTCTGGCTCTGGCTCTGGCTCTGGCTCTGGCTCTGGTGCTGGTGCTGGTGCTGGTGCTGCCACCACCCCTTGCGAGACTCTTACCGGTGAGACTGTTGTCCCTGTTGCTACTCACACCCAGGGTGGTTCTTCTCCCAGCGCTCCTGCCGGCAACAACGGCGGCTCTCCTAGCGGTGCTGCTACTACCCCTTGCGAGACTCTCACCGGCGAGACTGTTGTTCCCGTTGCTACCAACACTGCTAGTGGTTCTTCTCCTAGCGCCCCTGCTGGCAACAACGGCGGCTCCCCTAGCGGTGCTTCTCCTACCGGTGGTGTCCCTAGCGGCAGCTCCAGCGGTTCTTCCGGCTCTTCCAGCGGCAGCTCCAGCGGTTCCTCTGGCTCCTCTCCCAACGGCTCCGGCTCCAGCGGCTCTTCCAGCGGTTCCTCCGGCAGCTCCAACGGCTCCGGCTCCAGCGGCAGCTCCAGCGGCTCTTCTGGCAGCTCCAGCGGTTCCTCTGGCTCCTCTCCCAACGGCTCCGGCTCCAACGGTGCCTCTCCTAGCGGTGCCAGTGCCGATTCTGCCACTACTCCTTGTGACACCATTGTCAGCGAGACTGTTATCCCTGTTGCTACCAACACTGAGGGTGGCTCTGTTCCCACTGCTCCTGCTCAGACTGGTGCTGTGCCCACTGGCACCGCTCCCGCTGGCGGTGCTGCTCCCTCTGGTGGTGCCCCTGGTGGTGCCGCTCCTTCCGGTGCCGCTCCCTCGGGTGGTGCTGCCGGCGGTGCTGGTGGTGATGCCTCCGCCACTCCTTGCGAAACCTCCGTTAGCGAGACTGTCGTCCCCGTTGGTACCCAGACTGTGGGTGGCTCTGGCGCCGCTCCTTCTGGTGGCGTCGCTGGTGGTGAGGCTCCCTCTGGTGTTGCCAGCGTTCCTGCTGTCCCTACTTCCAGCACCGTCCCCGAGGGTGCCAGCGCTGACTCCACCACCACTCCTTGCGACACCCTCGTTACTGAGACTGTCATCCCTGTTGCTACTCAGACTGAGGGCTCTCCTGCCCCCAGCGGCACCGCCGCTGAGGGAGGCTCCGCCCCCCAGATCACCACCGCTCCTGTCGCAGGCTCCGGCTCCGGCTCGGGCTCCGATGTGGTCACTGTCACTGTCACCACCACTGTGAGCGTCGCTGCTTGCGAGTAAGCAAGCCACCACCAACATACCCGACATGAGACGATAGCAACGGCATGCATGGCGAAGAAAGCTCCTGTATATACCTAATTCATTTCTAATTCTAATTCTTCTGAAGATTGTCTTAACTGTCTGCTTCCTATCTTTGTACAAAGCTACAAGAGGTCAGAGGAACGATGTATTTGCTTTATTGTTGATATGTTCATTGCTGCAAATCCCCTTCAATGGAGTACATTCGTTTCCGCGAGACTACCAAAAACATGTATTATTTGCCAACTGTGTATTATAGCTAAGGTTGTGAATAATCGAGGAAGTTTCGGTTTTAGCTGTTCCGTTATAGTGACAGTAGCAGTAGTATTCAGGTAAGATGCCCAACTACTGCCTGGTAATGCTGATTTCTGAGTAATCCCAACATATCAGCACGCTTACTACCAAATGCCCAACAAGGCTCGCATTTGTCGCTTTCAACGTCCAAACTCCAAAGTATGCACATCCGATAAGACAGATCAACGCTCAATGCCTCGGTCCCTCGCTTCGAGGCTGTCTGTCCCATTCAGCCCCAGTGTTGACGTCGCCTGATCGACAGCAATCCCGCCCCGATCAGCATCCCTCTTGCTTGCTACTTGCATTTCCCGCCTGGGATTCCCAAGCCACCACGCCCCAAGGCCCCTCGAGTGCCAAATCCGTCCGCCTTGCAATTCGCCTACGCGAATGCAAAGCCGGCCGATCTCAATTCCCCTTCGTGGCTCTCTCTGTCTTTCTCTCGCCCTCATCACATCACACCACGACCCCTCTTCTCCCGTGCCCAGGTTATCTCCCTGGTGCTTCCAGGAATAGAATCAAAGTAGACTCCTAGGAGGAACTGGATGAAGTTGGAAGCGCGGAAGCAGCGGAATCTCGTGTGGATATGAAAAAGTGTGTACTCAGTAGCTGCTGGGATTATTCGTACCAGCATTTTAGTATGTAGGACAGTGCATATGCATCCATGGCATCCTTATTGCCTTATGCAGTCATCACCACGAAAGAGTCTAGATCCTTTCGTTTTCTTTTTTGCTTTTTCTTCTTCTTTCTTTTTGATTTATGTTTTTATATTCGGGGAGAGAAAGGCAAATCGAAAAAAAAAAAAAAAAAAAAAAAAAAAAAAAAAAAA